CAAAGTTGGACCTGATGGTACTATTGATCGCCTCAAAGCTCGTCTTGTGGGAAAAGGTTATACTTAAATTTTTAGGTTGGATTATGGAGATAATTTGTGGCAAAGATGGCTTCTGTTCGTTTAATTATCGCCATGACCGCTCTTCAACAATGGTCTCTTTATCAACTGGATGTTAAAAATGTTTTCCTCAATGGTGATTTGCAAGAAGAAATCTATATTGAGCAACCTCCAGGGTTTCTTGCTCAGGGGGAGTCTTTTGGGATGGTACGTCATCTTCGCAAATCCCTCTTTGGCCTAAAACAGTCTCCTAGGACCTAGTTTGGAAAGTTTAGCAAGGTTGTTCAACAATTTGATATGACTCAGTGTGAAGCAGATCATTCTGTCTTTTATCGACACTTGAGTGTTGAATGTGTTTACTTGATAATATATGTTGATGACATCGTTCTGATAAGTAGTGACAACCATGGCATCTCTCAGTTGAAACAACATCTCTGTCACCATTTTCAGACCAAAGATCTTGGCAAACTTAGATATTTCTTGGGTATTGAGGTGACACAGTCCAATGATGGTATTGTTATATCTCAGAGGAAGTATGTCATGGCTATTTTGGGGGAAACTGGGTTGATGAGTTCAAAGTTTGTTGATACACCCATGGATCCCAATACTAAACTTCTACCAAATCAGGGGGAGTCTATATCTGATCCTAAGCAATATAGAAGATTGGTTGAAAAATTAAATTATTTTACAGTTATTCGTCCCGACATTTCTTTTGCAGTCAGTGTGGTAAGTCAATTTCTTAATTCCCCATGTGAAAATTATTGGAATGCAGTCATTCGTATCTTGAAGTATATTAAAGGATCTCCTGGAAAAGGATTGTTATATGGTTCTAATAACCATACAAGAGTTGTTTGCTACTCAGATGCTGATTGGACAGAATCTCCTTCAGATAGAAGATCTACATCTAGATATTATGTCTTCATTGGTGGTAACTTGATCTTGTAGAAAAGTAAGAAACAGAGTGTTGTGGCAAGATCCAGTGTAGAAGCAGAAAATAGAGTTATGGTTTCAGCTGTCTGTGAACTTGTTTGGCTCAAGTAATTACTTAAAGAGTTATAATTTGGAGATGTCACTCAAATGATACTTGTGTGTGACAATCAGACTGCTTTTCATATTAGCTCAAATTTTATCTTTCATGAGATGACTAAACACATTGAGATTGACTTTCATTTCATTCGAGAAAAGATTATGTCTGGAGACATCAAAACTAAGTTTGTTAACTCATGTGATCAGTTAGTAGATATTTTTACTAAGTGTTTATGGGGGTCTAGAATTGATTATATTTGTAACAAGCTTAGCACATACGATTTGTATACTCCAGCTTGAGGGGGAGTGTTAGATATTGTTTAGATATTATTTAGATATTATTTGATATTGTTAAGATATTGTTAGATATTATTATCCACAATATCAAACAATATCTTTTGTTTATTCTGTTACTTTTAATTACTCGTTTAGTTATACCTCTCTCTACTATAAATAGATTACCCTATGTGTGGTTTATATACAAGGGAGATTAATCTCAAACTCTATTTTCTCTATATTCAACACTTTCAAAGGTGGAGTCTAGATCTGTTTCTTCCGGCGATGCTTTGAAAGTAACTGTCAAAGGTCGAGGAACGATCTGGTATCAATAGAGAAATGGGTTAATCAGAGATATCAGAGATGTATACTACGTACCTGATCTCAAAAGCAACATACTGAGCATGGGAGAGTTAATGGAGAAGGGGTACTCGGTTCTAATGAAGGACCGAGAACTACAACTAAAGGATAAACTCAGGAGGCTTATTGCTCTGGTAAAAATGAAGAAAAATCACATGTACAAACTTGATCTGAAAATAGTTCAAGATAAATGCATGAAACTTGATGTGGAGGATGAGGCTATGAAGTGGTATTTTCGGTTCGGTCATCTTCACTTCGGTGGGTTGACTGAGCGGTGAAAAAGGAGATGGTGCTCGGATTGCCTAAAATGGAATTCGAAAAAATGTTATGTGAAGAATGTGTGATCGGAAAGCAAGTAAGGACTTCTTTCCCAAGGAGTTCTGAGTGTCGAGTAAATGAGTAACTCGGACTAATCCATACTGATTTGTGTGGGTCAATAACTCCAGAATCGTTCAGTGGTAAGAGATAATTCTTCTCTTTCATTGATGATTTCTCGAGAAAGACATGGGTTTATTTTCTGAAAGAGAAGTCAGAAGTGTTTGAAACTTTCAAGAAATTCAAAGTGATGGTGGAGAAAGAAACAAGCAAAGTCATCAAAGCAGTCTGATCTGACAGAGGAGGTAAGTTCACTTCTGCTAAGTTTAACAAATACTGCGAGGAACATGGGATCAAGCATTTCTTGACTGCCCCATATTCTCCGCAGCAAAACAGTGTAGCGGAACGAAAGAACTGAATCATTCTCGATATGGTTCGATCTATGTTGAAAGGGAAGAATATGTCAAAGAAGTTTTGGGCAGAGGCGGTGCAGTGCACAGTCTATGTGCAAAATAGATGACCACATGCAAAGCTAGGCGAGAAGACACCTCAGGAGATCTAGAGTGGTATGAAGCCGAGTGTCTCTCATTTGAAGATGTTTGGTAGAGTGACCTATGGGCAAGTACCAAGTCAGCACAGGATAAAATTAGAAGATTGGAGCAAGAAGTACATATTTAATCGGGTATGATGGAAAATCTAAAGCGTATAAATTGTTTGATCCTGTTACCAATAAAGTGGTGGTAAGCCGAGATGTTCATGTGGAGGAAACAAAACAATGGTGCTGGAGTAACCCAAGCGAACAAGAAACTAGCTCATAAATTGTTATGCCTTCAACAGAAACAACCACTGAGTCCTCAGATGAAGAAATAGAGTCACAACAGCCCAGGATGAGAAGTCTACAGGAAATATACGACACTACAAATGAAGTTCATGTTGTATGTCTTCTGGCTGACTCTGAAGACTTGAGCTTTGAGAAAGTTTTCTAAGATGAGAAGTGGAGAACAACCATGGATGAGGAGATTGGAGCGATTGAACGCAACAAAACTTGGGAGCTGACTGATCTTCCCGAAAGAGCTCGACCCATTGGAGTAAAATGGGTGTACAAAAAGAAGATGAATGTTGAGGGAGAGTTTGAACGTTACAAGGCTCGACTTGTGGTGAAAGGCTATAGACAAAAGGAATAAATTGACTATGATGAAGTATTTGCTCCTGTCACGAGAATGAAGTTAATCCGAATTTTGATCTCATTAGCTGCTCAGAACCAATGGCAGATTCTACAGATGGATGTGAAGTTGACATTTCTAAATGGAGTGCTGAAGGAGGAGGTGTACGTCGAACAACCACTATGGTACATGAAGAGAGGGGATGAGAAGAATGTGTTGAGATTGAGAAAAGCCCTTTTACGGGCTGAAGCAGGCTCCTTGCGCCTGGAATGAGAGAATTGGTGGGTATTTCAAGAAAAATGGGTATGAGCAATGTCCATACGAGCATGCCTTGTACACAAAGAAATCAGAAAAGGACATGATGGTAGTTGTTCTCTATGTCGACGACCTCATATTCACTGAAAGTAACACAAAGCTGATTAAGGAATTCGAGGTAATGAAGAAAGAGTTCGAAATGACAGACTTAGGTCTGATGAAATATTTTCTTGGTCTAGAAGTGAAGCAGCTGGAGGAAGGGATTTTTATATCCCAAGAGAGGTACGCGCTTGAAATTTTAAAGAAGTTTAAAATGGAGGATTGTAACCCAGTTTCTACTCCAATGGAACCGGACACTAAACTCTCAAAGTTTGATAGAGAAGAACAAACTGATTTTGGGAGATATCGAAGCTTAATCGAAAGTCTGAGGTACTTTACAAGCACGAGACTCGACCTAATGCTGAGTGTTGGGATAACGAGCAGATACATGAAGAATCCAAGCTACACACATTAGAAGGCCTTGAAGAGAATTCTGATATATGTTCAAGGAACCCTATCACTTGGTCTTTTCTATTCAAAATCGGATGACTACCGATTAGTGGGTTACTCGGATAGTGATTTGTGTGGTGATGTTGATGATCGAAAAAGTACTTCACGTTATGTATTCCTACTCGGAAAAACAGTTTTTACTTGGCTGTCAAAGAAGCAGCTCATTGTAACTTTGTCAACCTGCGAGGTCGAGTATGTGGCAGCCTCTTGGAGTGTGTATCATGCAGTCTGGCTTTCAAATCTACTAAGGCATTTGGGAGTGATCCAAGACGAAGGGACTGTAATCCAAGTTGACAAGTCGGCGATCGAGTTAGCAAAGAACCCGCTAAACCCAGTTAATCACGGAAAGAGCAAACACATCGACGTCTGATTTCATTTATCTGAAAACAAGTCAGAGAAGGAAAAATCGAGCTAAAGCATGTTGAAAGTTGAGCTCAAGCCGCAAACATATTCATCAAATTACTACTGACCACATAGTTGAAGAGTTGTAAAAGACTGATTGGAATGAGAGATGGAAATAATATTTAAGTTTAAGGGAGAGATTTGTTGTAAAACTTAAATTAGTCGTTTGATATTCTTAAAATAATATTAATGATTTTAGGCACGGGTTGCATAACCAAGAAATATGGAGAAACAGACACCTATTTAATAGGTATCATAATTTACTTTTTGACATATGAAAAGACAAATATTTTATCCATAAATACTTGTAACAACTTATTTGAAATTACAACAAGAAACATTGAGAGATTAAAAGAAAACAAAGTACTGTCAACTTCTATTTTCCGCCTTCTTGTTGCCAACAATTCCACTTACACCTTCAGATTTTAGTTGATGAAAAATGGAAAAGGGGTCACAAGTTGAAATAACCAACCAATTCATATACATACAATGATAATGCCCTATAAAATGTTTTATGGACAGATAGAGCACACAAAATTATCTCCATATCTATGACCTTCAAAAATTCTGTGTACATCACCATTGAAGAACCTTCTGTCACTCATGACTGCAGGCAACAGCTGATAAGAAACACCTTTTAACAGCTGCAGTTGTGCCAGTTTCTTGCCATCCCTGACCTTCCTTATAATTCTCAACCTGTAATGTATATATATTTATAAATATATTTAAGTAATAAAATACCTGAGGCTAGTAAAAAAATGTATCTTCTAAAGCAAAATATTAGATTAAAATATTTACTTACTGTATCTACAATGTTCTCCCCAACCCTAACTCCTCCAATCATATAAATGGATTCCTTGACAACTACAGCAGCACAATACCCTCGAGGATGATTCATTGGTTCCCCCATTGTCCATGCCCCAAGACGAGGATCATACACTTCTATACTTTGAACCATTTTGTCACCAACAAAGCCACCAAGTGCGTACCTGTGGAATGCATGAAATTTCAAGTGAAGCACACAAATATTCAGATTTAGGTCTCCAGTTAGACCAAAATACCTATCATGTTTATTTGTCCAAAATGATACGAAGATAAGTTGAGCACTTTCCAAACAATCACCTAAGACTCCACAAAACAAATTTAGATTTATAAATTTTACTTAGTAACTTTCAAGGAGAAAATGGACCCTCATGAACATTCTGAATAGCATTAAGTTGTCAATTGTAACATTGCAAAACACTACTTCATCAATAAAATGAAAATTAGAGGTAATTAAGGAGAAGAAAAAAACGTTGAACCCACAATTTGTCATTTAGAACAACTAATGAATGGCAGCCCCGCTTTACATTCATGTTAGGTATTTTGGTCCAAGAATGTTCCCTAGGATCAAATCTTTCAGCAGACCTGCAGTTTTGTAGAAGTGCCATTCCCATTAGTACAAATATAAAATAACATACTATTATATCCACACACAAAAATGGCATAGTCTAGATCAACCATGATTGCCGTGATGAGTTTCAGCTAATGATATGAATAAATTGAACCAAAATCAAGTTATACGTATTACCTTAAGTAATCATTTCCATCAAATCCGCCAGTGGCATAGATTGCACCATTGAGTTCCACTGCAGCAAGAGCAAATCTCTGGAAATATAAAAGAGCACCCAAGTAATCAGTTAAATGTTTTGTATGATTTTCAAAGAAATGATCTAAATGGTCACTTTTTTCTGTGAGTGGAGGAGACCCGGGTCATCCTAGAAATGACCAACATGTAGAAGTATTTAAAAGGTACAAGGCTTGATGCAAACATATGGACTACATTATGATATAAGCTACACTAAAGCATTTTATACTTACCTCTGGTAAAAAAATAACTGACAAAAGTCACATAATTAGAAGCTTAAAGCCTTAAAATCACATAACTATAGGTCTTTTTGTTGTTAACATAATTATACCTCTCAAATCTCAAACGAAACCTGAAATTTTGACCATTTGATTGTCCCATTCTACCTTATCTAGCATTGAGCGGGTAGGGATCCACCGACCAATATCTAAATCAAGCATCTCAACATCTGAAAAGCAGTCAACTCCATTGCCACCACCGACAGCAAATATTTTCCCATTAAAAGCAGCACCAGACAAGCTTCCTTTCTTTTGGTTCAAAGAGGGATACATGGTCCAGTTGTCATGAACAGGATCGTATGATTCAACTACACAGATATAAGATAAAAGGGTTGACAAAACTTCATCACATTCCAAAAATATAATTATTTGAAAGCACAGCTAGATTTCATACCTGTGTCATACCAAACATAACCATTTCCACCACCAAAAACATAAATTTCACCATTCAACTGCACAACTGAAGCATACGAACGAACTGAGCTCATAGGCTTTAGAGATTTGATGACACTCTGAGAAGTGCAGTACAAATCCATATTTGCTAACCATGATTTTCCATCAAAGCCTCCAATTAAAAATAATGAATCTTTGGGATCAAAATGCATCTCAGCTGTCAACTTTATTGCTGCCTTCTCAACATGTTCCAAACGATTAGGGATATTACATGCAGATTCTAAAAGTGTACAACGATCTTTAAGATGCTGAATTTCTGTTTCTGCCTCACTCTGAAATTACAAGTAAAATATAAGCCAATATTGATATGGAAGAAGACATTATTGATATCGTATGAAACAAAAAGTGAGTGCAAATAAAGGTATACCAAAATTACTTACAAAAGATTGTTCTAACTTCTATATCTCTAAGAAAAATTTATTCAAATTGTCTCCAACCAATTCCAATCATTAATACCTTTTGGAGCCTTAACTAATTATCTCAAAGTAATCAATACAGCCTTCTAAGGCATGCCTAATACTTCATTTCTTTGTTTTCCTTCATTTATCCATTAAGCCAGCCATGAATTAATACTTTCAAGTTTTAACTTAATGATGGGAATATGACCATAAGCAAGGCAAAAGATCCACTTAAAAGATTTGGAGGACCTATGAGATCCAATCAACCATTAAGTAGTTTTGAATTCCTCGGTTAATGGATTATTATTAACATTTATTTGTCTTCATTAAATAGTTTTCAATTCCTAGATCATTATTAGCATTTATTTTCCTTCATTAAGTAATTTTTAATTCCTAGATTAATGGGTTATTATTAGCATTTATTTTTCTTTATTGAATTTTTGTAACTTTGATGGCAAACCTTATGGTACAAGGTGTAGCCTATGCTCTTTCTCGGCATCATGCTTTGCTTTCTATGCTTGAAACAAAATTTATTGGTCTTAAATGTTTGAAAAGCATGTATGAAAATGATGAAACTTTTGGTGAAATTTTTAAAAATTGTGAAAAAATTTCAGAAAATGGTTTCTTTAGACATGAAGGTTTTCTTTTCAAAGAAAACAAATTGTGTGTGCCTAAATATTCTAAAAGAAACTTGCTTGTTAGTAAAGCACATGAAGGAGGTTTAATGGGACATTTTGGTGTCCAAAAGACTCTAGAAACATTACAAGAACATTTATTGGCCTCATTTGAAAAAGAATGTGCGGAAATTTTGTGAACATTACATTGTTTGTAGAAAGGCAAAGTCAAAAGTTAAGCCCATGGATTGTATACTCCATTGTCAATTTCGGAGTATCCTTGGATTGATTTATTCATGGATTTTGTTTTGGGGCTGCCAAAAACAAGCAGTGGCAAAGATTCAATTTTTGTGGTTGTTGATAGGTTTTCTAAAATGACTCATTTTATTCCATGTAAAAAATTGAATGATGTTTCTCATGTGGCTGATTTGTTTTTCAAGGAAATTGTGAGATTCCATGGTTTGCCAAGGAGCATTGTTAGTGATAGGGACTCTAAGTTCCTAAGTCATTTTTGAAGGACCTTGTGGGGCAAGTTGGGAACTAAATTGTTATTTTCAACCACTTGTCACCCACAAACTGATGGGCAAATGAAAGTTTTTAATAGGACATTAGGAATATTGCTTAGGACAGTTTTGAGGAAGAACTTAAAGAATTGGGATGTTTGTTTAACCCATGTTAAGTTTGCTTACAATAGAGTTGTTCATATCACTACTAATTGTTCTCCTTTTGAGGTTGTTTATGGTTTTAACCCACTAACTCCTCTTGATCTTTTGCCTATGCCTAATGTTTCAGTTTTTAAGCATAAAGAAGGTCAAGCTAAGGTGGACTATATAAAGAAGCTTTATGAAAGAGTCAAAAATCAAATTGAGAAAAAAAATGAAAGCTATGTTAAGCAAGCCAACAAAGGGAGAAAGAAGATTGTCTTCCAACCCGGAGATTGGGTTTGGGTGCACATGAGAAAGGAAAGGTTTCTAGAACAAAGGAAATGAAACCTTCAACCAAGGGGGAATGGTCCATTCCAAGTGTTTGAAAGAATCAATCACAATGCTTACAAAATTGAGTTGCCCAGTGAGTATAATGTTAGTTTCACAATCAATATGTCTGACTTTTCTCTTTTTTTATGTAGATGACCAATCTGAGGACAAATCCTTCCCAAGAGAGAGCGAATAATGGGGACATGACCATGAATAAGGGCAAGGATCCCCTTGAAGGACTTTGAGGACCTATGACAAAGGTTAGAGTAAGGGAAGCAAAGGAAGCTCTTCAACTAGAGTTGTCCATATTATTTGAATATAAGCCCACATTTCAAGGAGAAAAGATCAAAGTTGTGAATTGCATTATGGCCCAAATGGAGGAGGACTAATCAATCATTGTTAGCATTTATTTTTCTTCATTAAGTAGTTTTCAATTTATAAATTAATGGATCATTATTAGCATTTATTTTCCTTTATTTTGTAACTCTGATGGCAAAGCTTCTATATAAGCTGAACCATTTTTATCAAAAATACAAGTTGAATTTTATTCAGAAATATTAGAGTTTAGCTCTTTTATTTTAGTGAGAGTGATTCTTCTAAGTTATTGAATAATTCAAGAACCCATGACTATATCAAAGGACTTTTACATCCGTTGTGAGTTGCATCTCTTCGGAAGAGTGATTCTTTCCTTCGACCTTTCATATTCAACTCTTATTCTTTCTTCCCCAGAACTCAGAAAACTCAATTATGCCCAACTCTGAAATTTTCACCACTTTCTAATCCACCTTCTCACTAATTTCCTAAATTTCCTACAAAATCTAATCCTAAAGATCCTAAGTCAGCCCTTGTGTAAATGAGATTCATATCAACTTATATAATATTCATTCAGTCTACTTCCCAAAGACTCTAAATTACATGAAATTATGAGTTCTCATACTTAAGAGGAAAGAAACTCGAGATTTGGATCTTCAGAGTTCATTCCATAAATGTAATGGGAGAGAAAGAAGCTGATAAGAACACTTTGGAAGAGCAACACCACAAAACCTTGTTGTAGTTGGAGAACCCAAGATCATATAAACCCCCACAGTAGAATCCCATACTTACTCTATGGGACTCAAATCCAATACTGATATCCCATCAGGCTTTGCTGCTTCAGCACCCATATGAGGTGGCTGTGCACTAGTCCTTTGACTAGTCTGAGGTGAAATCAGTGTATCGACTTGCACTGCTTATTTGCAGATGCCAGACATGGTGGAAACTAGATTCAATACCGATTGATTTTAGCACCTCGGGAAAACTACACCACAAAATCTAGTTATTGTAGTTGAAGAGCCCAAAACCTCATAAACCCACACTAGACTTGCATACTAACAAAGTTCGACTTATTGCAGCTGGATCCTACTATAACTAAAAAAAAAAGTGAATTTCACTATATTTAAACTGTTGGACTCAACTTGATTTATTGGTTTCACTCTCCCACTGCATTTGCTGAGTATAACCACAACTTTGTGAAAATAAGTTAATTAAAAATGAAATTTCAAATCTGCAAAGAGAATGTAATGAGTAAGAACAATATAACAGTAGGTGATTTAAATATATTTGGAGACTTCAAACAGTAGAAGCTAAAAGTTACTTGACAAGAATCTATATGCATGCTAGAAATATAACACTTCAAACGTGGAAGATTCAGAAATTCCACATACTTGTCAATTTCTTTGATAACCCTATACATTTTATGCATGCTAGCCATATGCTTAAAGATGTTAGGGATGGATAAACAATTAAGAAATATGATCAATTTCAGACAGAATCTACAGTATAGAAAAGAGTACCAGCTTCTGCTCCAGGTAGGAATTCTTCTCTGTTTGTATTTTCTTGAAACTTGTCAATTCTTTGACCTCTTGTACCAACTACAAATACACTGCAGTTAGTTGCTTGCAGACAAAATTAAAATATGAGATTTAATATTTTCCATCAAACATCCTCACCCACCTGAGCCATGTTGTATTGATACTCAAACGGAGGAACAGAACTTTCTTCCTTCTTATCTAAACCACTCGACACTTCCGTACAACCTTTTTCTGGGTTATTCACATCAGGATTATCATTCCCAATGTTTTCCAAAGAGAACTCTTGACTTTCATAGTTAAGAGTTAATTCCTTCAGTTTCAGAAATATGCTTTTCTTCTCATCCTCATTTACTTCCATCTCGACCTCACTATTATCTAATGGATGGACGTGTTCATCTAAAGAAGAATCCTTTTCAGTCCAATATGTTCTTGTACTTAAGTGAGTCGACTGGTCTGTCTCTAATTCAAGCATTTTAGATATTTCACCTTCGCTCCAAGTCTCATTTGATGCAAGTGGTTGAGATTCAGTTATCCACTTCTGTGTATTGTGCGGGACGGAATTACCAGAGACAATTGCTCCAGTTGATAGTAAGGAAATAAGTTTGCTTGTTTGTCCATGGTCTAGCTCAAACCAGAAATGATTATGAATGTAGTAGTTGTCTGCAATTAATTCTTTAAATTTATCTTCAGACACTGGCTGGCACTGAAGTCGAACACAAATTTGGACCTTAAATATTTTAATAAAAAATATGAGCATAAAGGCTTTCATGTATCATGACCAGAATTGTCTTGAATAACAGAACCATATCAATTATAGTCTTCGAGTGAGTGATATACCTGTGCAGGATATTGTGTTCTCTCTGAACCATCAATAGTCCATCCATAGGGGTCTATAAACATTCTCCCACAGCTAGCCGCCTCAAAAATTCCATGAAGCTTCCTGTCAGTATAATTAAACAAGAACAGAGGCAACCCTGGATCAATATTCCTCACATAAGAGAAGTGCGGAGCTGGTAATCCTGTTCAGAACAGATAAATGTTCCCATGAGCCAGAGATTTCAATCCTTGTATTCGTTGGCAGTACTTATTATCATATGTAAATAATACAATTTTTAAGATTCATGAGAAGATATAAGTGTCGCCATGTCATGTACAACACAACACAATTTTCATTTCAAAATGCTGACTGTCGTAGATGGTTTTAAATTGTTGTGGCAGTCACAGATGCAGTTTTATTGTGATCCCTAAAATTGCAGACGAAGCGGCAGCAATTGCAGTTGTGTACCATTAGCCACATTGTCATGTAGGTGTTTCTAGATTCATACTAGCAGTATTTCATGCTATATTTTTGAGAAAGGAAAAAGAAGAGGGAGAGAGACAGAGGAGAGGAACTGACCAAAGAGTTGTTTAGACAGACATTCTTTGATTGTGGCGTTCTTGCATCCAAAGATTACACCACCAAGTTGATTCTTCCTCAAATTTCTGCCAAATGAAAAATTTGGAGAGAGAGGTTGAGTCCCACTGAACTGAGAAAATTGTGCTTTTTTCCTTGCCCCCACCCTGGAATGAGAAGAAAAAGGTCCTTTCCTTTACATCTACGTCAAAATTACAGTATAAAGAACTGAAAGTTCTCAATATCTTGAAAAGCATCTCCAATGACTAACGAAATCAAGGTTTGAACAACAAAAATGGTTTTTCTTTTTTAAGTTATTGAAAATAGATTATTCACAACCTAAGTACATACATTTCACACAAATGTCACTGTAAAAGTTGAACGCAACTCAATCCAACATCTGAACAAAATTTGCAAATATGAGAACAAAAATTTCAATGGAAACTTACAAAGAAAGCACTTCTCAAAAACAGCAAAACGATCCAACACCACATTTCAAATTTCAATCCACAAGAACCATGAAACAAGAAAAGTATAACCGTTTAACAGTACAAACTCTCGTGTTTAGAAACTTTACCAATGTATCAAAACATCGTAAGTGGCATTCACTACCAATGAAAGTAGGAACAAGAAAAAGAAAACAGAACAGACCCAGTTCAAATATTCAAAATTGATGAAACGAGGTTTACCCCAAAATCCCAGAAACAAAATGTAAATTTCAAAACCAAACCAAAACCTTCCATAAGTGCCATTCACCGTCCAAGAACGTGCAAGTAGGAATCAATAAAGATATCAGACAAACCCAGTTCAAAAACCCAAAATTGATGAAATGGGGTTTATGCTAACACCCCCAAAACTATAAAATGGAAAATCCAAAACATTTCATAGTAGTTATGATCAACGACTGCAAAGAAAAAGAAAAAAGTGTGCGCATTTACATTCTTCTGACATGCACAAAGCGAACTATGGACAGAGAAAGAGAGAGAATAACGAGAGATGCTCCGATGATGGGACACAGTAGCAAGTAGTGTCGAAGACGTAACAAGGTTTCCAAAGGAAGAAAGGAACAAGCTTGTCAGTCTTACAAAATAGTGTAATGTTTACAGTTTTGGTGCAAGAAAACATAAACCCCTTTGGTCGTCGCAAGGGAAATAAAGAGTTTCAACTTTGGAGAGAAGAAAAAGAAAAAAAAAAAATTATTTATCTTCTTGTTGTTCATTTTAATCAAATAAAATATAATATATTTTTTTCTTTCAGTCCAACATAAATGTGGTATATAGAGAGAGAGAGAGAGTAGAAAAGTAAAATAATAACAGTTTTTGTGAGAAAGAAGTACTTCACATCTTTCTCTTTCCTTCTTATTCCCCCACCTTCTAAGTAATTCTTCTTTATTTTTCTTTGATAGGATTAATTTTCTTGTAAGTACGTACTCAGGTAGTATTTATTAAAAAATATAATAATTATTTAAAAGTTTAAAAATTTTGTATTTTTATGTTCATATAAGCTTACGAGAAGATGTTTAACTGGTTCTACTAGATTTAGCATCTTATAATATTATTATGAACTTGTTTAATTTTCTCGTCTTTACTTTTCTCGTCTTTATTTTTTTGTTCATGTAAGTTTATGAGGAAATGTCTAACCGGCTTTGCAGATTCAACATCTTATAAATTTATATTGAACTTTATAGTTATAACTCGGATAATCATTATTTTAGCTAGTCTCGGTTTCGGGTTCTTTGCAAGTTAAGTAATCACGTTCGATGGCGGATCTTCTTGGGAGTTGAGGGGCCGTGGTCCCCCAAAATTTTATAACTCTCATGTAATTTATGATTTTAGCTTCCAAACTTAATAAACATTTAATATATTTACTTGTATATTTACAATTTTATCCTCTCAACCCTTCCTTAATTTTGTAACTCCCATGTAATTTATGACTTTGTCCCCTCAAACTTAATGATCATTTAATATATTTAAATATATATCTACAATTTTATCCTTTTACCCTTTCATCTTCTTTCTTCCTTTTATATTTATTTATTATTTATTAATAATATATTATTTTATATTTATTTATTATTTATTAATAATATATTATTTGGCTTCCAAGATCAATGGTCAAGATCCGCCATCGATCACGTTGACTAACGAAGAGAGATAAAGAGTTATAACTTGTATCTTCTTCTTTTTTTCTGTCCTCCTTCCCCCCCCCCTTCTTTCGAGTGAAAAATCCTTAGTTTGCAATTGAACGAGTTTGTATTCATTAGGATACCCTTTGTAGATTGGGTAAGTTAAGGTCGGGAGAGTCATGAGAACCCTAAGCCTCGCGGATCTATCTTTATGGGTTGAGGAATATTTGCATATTACGACAATCTTTGCAAATATATTTTCTTGTACATCTTTTTATTTTCTTTATTATATATTTATTCGTTTTTTTTTTCTATTTATTCATGTTCTTGTATATCACTTAATTATAAAAAAAAAACAAAAATTAAAAACAACAAAAAGATTTTTTTAAGCCTTATGATTATCTATATTCTTTTATAAATATTGTTTTACGGTGTATTCAGTTGATCCCTTTATTCTCCTCCACTTATCTCGCTACTTTACTTTATTGCTCACTCTCTGATTTCCTACCTTTTTTCACATTTTTTTTTAATTTTAAAAATTTAATAGAAGGTATACAACCTTTTTTAGGCAAAGACTACAAAACAACTCTTTAAGTTGTCGAACAAATCACAAAATCTCCTTTTATGGTGGAAAACAGGCATAGTACTTCTGCTATTCCTGATAATGAAAACATTTATATGATGAATATCATAGAATATGATGAAGATGAGGATGATGACCTGACTGATGTGGAATGGAATCATCATCAGGCTATTATAGCCATGTATAGACAAGAAATTTTAGATTTCACTACAAATTCTTTATCCCCAAACAAATGAAAAAGTCTAAATTAATGAAAAGGGTGGCATCATTAATGAAATGGACAATATCATAGATACATTTTTAGATAATTTGTGTCTAGATGAAAAAGATGACGATACATTAGATGATGTATCCTAGTCTCATAACCCTTATCCATATTAGGATTAGTAAACACAAATGTTGGATCAAGTGATTTTCAACTCCATAGCTACCAGTTAAAACATGATGGTGTACATCGGTTTTTTGCCCAGAGAATCACCACAAAATGTTGTTTTTAGTAACAACTAATACACAACACAAGGCAAAAGGCTCCCGATTCAGCAGAATTTTCAAATGTCTAACCTTCTTCTAAACATAGAAGGAATAGATCCTCAACTATTGCCAACATATATCGAACAATGGACGGCAGCCGTAATTCGTGATTATGGCATACACTACGAGAAAGATGTTCAATTTTCTCAAGAAATGATTGCTAAAGATAAAACCTATTTAAGTGATATAGTCAAAGCATGTTGGGAATCTTTTAAAAAAAATTACCCAGCTGATTTAAACATGTTAGTAATCGAACCAGGTCCTAACATATACAATTTTTGTTCTCTTTTACAGAGATTACTTACTTCTCAATCTGCAAATAATAGGAACACACTTAGACAACAAATCTATCTAGGTCATCTAGAAAGACTTTTCATAACATACTTTGGAAAAATAAAAGAATTTTTACAAGATTATCTCATGTATGCATCTATACCTAGATGTTTCCATGATTTAAGCGTTGGAGAAAAGATGTTTCTCAAACTACCAGGAAAACTAGGTCAAAAGATTAGAGAATCCTGGAAAAATGATGAGGTAACTCTCATATTGAATAACCTCTCAATAAGAATACAACACATCATGAAAGTGATGGAAGACAATTGCACACATATTACAATACAAAAGCAATTGAAAAATTCCAAAGTTGAAATTTGTAAACAAATATACACACCTCAACAATACAATCAAAACAAACAAAATAGGAGGTATGTATCTAGGAGTAAACCTAGGCAAAATCAGAATTTTTATTTTACAAAACAAAGACCCATTACACCTAGGAAGACTTATACGATAAGATCTTCAAATTCAAGAAAACCAACTCTAAATCTCAACCGACATGTTAAGAAATTTAGAGAAAATAAAACATACAAGCAGACATTAAAATGTTTTTCCAGTAACCAATCAGGATATTTCTCTAGAGATTGTCCTAACATTGCAAATTTTTACACAAAAGAGGCAGAACTCATAAAATCCTGCCACGTGAACCTTCTTCCAATAGATGAAAATGTTTCTATTGATTATGAAATACTATCAGTAATTAGTATTACAGAATATACTGATGAAATCAACTCATACAAAAGCCATAAAAATTATGAGCTAATAAATGATTTCACAAAAATGAATTCATACACCTTTATCCACAGGAAAATGACTTCCACCTGGATAATAAATACAATGAATTAGGAAATATATTAGATGATTTTGGATATTGTCTAATGAATACAAAAGTTTCTTTTTGTGATAAGAAATCTAATAAAAGGGTAGTGCAGAATTCTATCAGTTATACAGACATAGATATGGCAAGTCCATTGAATAAAGACAAATCTCTAGTCTCAACAGCTGAATTAATTCAATTTGGAACACATTATCTCCCTATTCTTCCAGAGGATTCTTCCAATAGGTCCAGGTTGCTCAAAAATTGTCCCATTTCAAGGGAACAAAATGTTCTACTTGATGCTCTTCACCGAGCTAGTAGTCCAACAACAAAACTTAATGTTATCAATGCATTAAATTATAACTTTTCAAAAATAATGTCTGCTTCTTTTAAAAAACCTAAGAATGAGGCCTACTACCTTTTTACTGGTGATAAGTGTGACGTCTACCTATCATACACTTCCCTTTTAAAGGTTATAGGTAATGACAAATATAGCAAATTTCAAGGATTTTATAACATTGAAGAAGTTGTACAGGCAATGGTTGGCTATGTTGGAGGTGATAACAACATGTTAGACCATCTAGAAGTTGGTAATTTCATTTTTGAAAAACCAATAAAACAAGAGGATTTTTCAATTTATGATTCCATTAAACTCAGCCAACATTTGGCTCTTGTCAGAAAAATGAAACAAAAATTGAAAATTTCCCTTTTTCAACAAAGAAAAGATTTTGAAAATCACATTTCCTGTTTGGAAAAACAAAATACAAAATTAAAAACCGAAATAGTAGATTTTCCCCAAATGATAAACTATGATTTTGGAAATTTCAAAGAGCATATGACCTATATTGAGTCATTCAAAAGAAATTTTTTTGACCTTTTACCAAGCTCAATCCAAGAAAAAATCTACCAACATGTTTCAGATGCCCTGATAGTAGAACTCGGAGAACTCCAAAATTGGTTATCCCAACTACCAGTAGATTCCTTAGTCCAACAACACTTGAGGATAGTTCAATACGAGGATGATTTTTCCTCCTTATCTTTCAATCAACACAACATCGGAATAAATCCTTACTTGATGGAATGTATTCCCGCCAAGATCAACAAAACATTAATTGAAGATTTATTCTTTTCAAGATTCTTGAAGAGAATAATCATTTTCAGAAATGTAGTGATAGAACCATTTTTCGGTCCAAAAATTATCTACTGGATAAATATGTTCTTTCAATGTAACTACAGTGAAGGATATTTCATTGAGATATTCTTTACACACCCCAACAATACAAAAGGGGAATACACTCTAGCAAAACATCATTTGTTCATGGATTCTAAGTCATTCACTGACATTTTCTTTTCTTCAGTG